AACATTTTTCTTTTAGGTCCCCCAAAATATTCATTTGCTCTTATAATACATATGGAACCACAACTGAAATTGGGGGCACCATCTGATTGTTTGTAGTAAACCAATGTAATTCTTCAAATCCTCTGTCTTCAAAGGATAATAGGCAAAAAGAATGATAATTTAGGGGCTGGGTCTGTGGCTCAGTGGTAGAGCTCTTGCCTAGCACAGACAAGGCCCTGGGTTCAATCCTCAGCACCACATAAAAATAAATATTTAAAATAAAGGTATTGTGTCCAACTACAACTAAAAAATAAATATTTTTTTTTTTAAAAAAAGAATGATAATTTACTACCCCTGCATCCTTCTAATCCTTAATGGTAGAGCAAATTCTGAAACCCCTTCAGGAAAGCATTTATTGATTTAATTTCAAATTTTAGGAACTTCCATCAACATTACCACCATACAAGCTCTTGTTCCAACAATCATAAAACTAATGAGGGGAAGGGTTTCTGTCAGTGTCTGAGTATGTCTTTGCCAAATACCTCCCAGCATTAAGACAATATCTGTGAGGAGGGTGGAACTCTTAGGCCCCATTTGAAGACAGACTCAAGTCAAAACTTGATGAAGTTATTAGACTTCCATAAGCTCTCCCTTTGACCTGCACTTTAAATGTATTTTACTCTAGGAGACTACAGGTAAGAATTAAAATAACACTCTAGCCACTGTACACCACGGATGACTCCTAAAGGACTTTTGAATTAATAAATTATATTTCCATTTTGCCTTCACATCTTATGCAATTCCCTTTTTTGGCCAGTTCTTACTCAGAATTACAAAAGAAAGAAGTTTATGGAAAATGTAATTGATTTTTAAAATATAGATGGTTAAAAGTCATACAAGGTGGTGCAAGTCTGTAATCCCAGCTACTTGGAAACCTGGTGCAGGAGAATTTCAAGTTCAAGTCCAGCCTCAACAGCTTAGTAAGACCCTATCTCAAAATAAAAATAAAAAGGGCTGGGGACCGAGCTCAATGGTAGAGCACCACTGGGTTCAATCTCAGTGCCACAAAAGAAAGAATACAGATGGTTAATATTGCTTTAATTTTTAATTTTTTTAGTTTGCTTTTTTATCAGAGAAAACTGAATTGAATGTTTATGTTCTTATGCAGATTTAAAATAATAGCAAACTTCTTTAGTGCTTAGTATATCTATGTTAACCACAGAACTACACTTATTAAACCTCTCAGCAACTTTGTAAGTGCTCTTACTGTCTTTATACCAAGGAAACTGAGTCTCAGAGAGACTTATAATTTAGTTGGATGTAACAGAGCTACTCTAACTCCAAATTCTGTATATGCAAGTACCCTGACTACCTCCCTTTTTCCGATTTGTTTTGAAAATGTTTTATAATAGATAACACAAGGATTCATATAATCTTACTCACAGGTTTGCTTTGTAATCAAAACTATCCAAATTATCTTCAAATTCTTTCAGATAATTTGACTGCACATCTGGACATTGTGCAGGCTTTTCAGCTGAAAACACTTTCAAATATTCTACTTGGTCAGTGGTACAATTTTGAAAGAAAGAGAAGGAAGAAAGGAAAAAGGGAAGAAGAGAGAAATAGGAAAATTAAAATATAGTCACTTTTATCTAGTGAGTCTATATTTAACCTTTTTATTTTAATTTCCCTCCTATAAAAATTAATGTGGGATGAGAATCCATGGGTAAGTAATACTTTTTATTAAAATTGCTGTAAAGAGAGCAAATGGCTACCAATATGGTAAATTTGAGAGGCCCTAGATTCCATGATTCCCACCAGAGTGCTCCTCCAATATAAATCTTACTCATTTATATTGTTACCTTTCCTTGCTCTTGAATAAAAAGATTTAATTACAGGAGAGAAATAGAAACCATAAGCCAATATGTACCAATTATTCTAAAATAACTCAATTTTTTTCAATTAATGGAAAAACAATAAATAGGTGTCATGTAATCAATTTGGAAAATGCTAGCATTAACAAAGCAGAACTACTAAGTTTTAATATGAATTTATGCATCATAAATCAGTAGAAGAGAATATAGTCACAAAACTTTTGGCAAGCAAATCCCCCCCTTTTTTTTTCAATGAGCATGGATGGAACAGAAGATTAGAAAACAGAACACCTAATTATGTTTTTAATTGAATTATCAATTTCCAGCAATAATTGCATTCTTAGAGACTGGAAGAAACAACAGCAATCATTATTTGTTGAACAAAAGATTTTATTAGTATCTGCAGGCATGAGTCAAGTAAAAGGGGCCATCCATTAGGTCTGTTATTTTACAATGCATTATCTACTGTAGGGGCTGTTAAAAGTATTAAATAAATTATCTAACAAAGGACAGTAAGATGAATGGGTAAAAAAATGTGATACACACACACACATACACACACACACACACACACACACACTAGAATACTGCTCAGCCATAAAGAAGAATGAAATTATGACACTTGTCCATATATAGATGGAAATGGAAACTATCATGCTAAATGAAATAAGCCAATCCCCCCAAAACAAAGGATAACTGTTCTTTCTAATATGCAGATATTAACACAGATAAGTGGGAGAGGAAAGGAAAGAATAGAAGTTCATTGGCTTAGACAAAAGGGAATGAAGGGAAGGGAGGTGTGATGGGAATAGGAAAGAGTAGAACAAACAGGAAAAAACTTTCCTATGTTCATATATGAAAACATGACCAGAAAACATGACCACATCATGCTCCTTTTTTTTTTTTTGTATTAGGGATTGAACCTGGGGTCTCACACATGCCAGGCAATTGCTCTACCTCTAAACTATATCCCCAACCCCACTCTACATCATGTTCAACCGAAAGAATAGAATCATAATTAGAATAAGTTATATTTTATAATATGTCAAAATACACTCTACTGTCATGGATATCTAAAAAGAACAAATTAAAAAAAAAGATGAAGGTACAAATAAAGCTTCAAAGTAGATATTAAAAATCACATCTACTAAGGAAAATGTACAAAATGTATGAAGGTTTTACAGAAGGCTAGGTGTCAACTATGGCCCATGAAGGATGGATAGGGGGTAATCAACAGCCACTGATGAGAAGGAATGTCTCCAGGCAGGAGCAGAGGCACAGGGAGAGGGAGGAGTAGAGGAAGAGAGGGCCTGAAGTTTGACTTCCTGGCTGCAGTCCTATCAGCTACCTGCAGGAATTAGAAGAGAACTGATGATAAAGGAGTGGGGAAGAAGATGGAGAGGAAGGGAATAACTTGCAAATGGAGAGGGAGTGCATAAATCTCTGGGCACACAGGGCATAGCACAGAAATCTAAAAGAACGCCTAAGGAAAACTGAAGGCTCATTTCACCTACCTCATACTTTGGCTAAGGAAAAGGCCTAATCAAATATATTTGGATCTAAGTTCTGTGTCTCCACTTGCCAATACAGAGAGCCAAAGACAAGCAAGGTTCTTCTTGAAGATGTGTGTTATTCCCCAAAGAATCTTTTAGGAAAAGCAAGCAGTCTGAGAAATATTTGTTCATTGGATGTATTCTGGCAGCAGACCGAAAAACCCAGAAAATATCAAACACATGTACGTGTACATCATACACTTCATTCTTAGAACACTTGTGGTTTAATTGTTTTGTTATTAACTGTCATTATGAAGTACTTATTGCTTCTCTAGTAAACACACTTCAAAATCACCTCAAAGGTATTTAAAATATCAAAAGACAATAATGGAGTTTGTGTCTGAAAAATTCTTATAGATAATATTAACTGCGGACTAAGTTTTACAACTTTAAGTAGGACAAATATTTGCTAAAACACATCCCCTGATGCCTATTGCTATAAAAAAAGGTAAGTGCTCTCCCGTGTCTTGCTTAGTTCATGAACATCCTAGCTGCTAATTCTTATAAGCTACATGGCACTCTTCTGAAATCTAGTGTTGATACATTCAACATGTAACCCCATTGCCCCTGGAAGGGAAACATTCCTGCTAAGTCAGAGAGTTTATGAAAATGCAAAAATATCAGACAGTTATGTTTTTTAGAAGCCACTGATGGATCTATCCTTTATCTTCTCACAAGTGGGGAGCTTTCTTCTTTCTCCAGATGGAATTCCATAGTTTCCCAATGAGATGTATGGGTCATCTAAAGTAAAGTGTCTTGTGAAAACAGCACATTCTCCATTAAAGTCATCCATAGTCATTTGCTGCTTGACACTGCCCATAGCCACCCCGCCCCCTCCCACACCATTGTCCCCAGCTTTCTTAACAGCAGAGGGGTTCACTTAAGACAACACATCATCCAAACTTTGCAGCTATGGTTCCCTTTGGTTCCAAATGTGAACACAAACATCACAGAAGCTTACATAGCTAGGAACAGTCAAAGGTATATTGATTGTGGCTGGGTCAAGGCAATAGGTTGGGGCACTAAATTACTGTAGCATACTATAAAGCAAATTCTTGCCATTCTCCTATTCAGAATGAGCTGACAACCTGAATCTGATTAGGTTTCACTTGAGCTTAAGTCTCTGGGAGTCAAACATGAGAAGAAACAAGATACTGCCTATCACATGTGAGGCTGCCTAGGCAGGGCCAACTCTGCTGTGAGCTCAACAATATTGAGAGAGAAAAATCAAGCAGTGTCTCTCTCCAGGTGACTATTTCCTGTGTTCTAAATTATGGGCTATAACACTGAGATTCTGGCAGCTTTTATATAGACAATTGTGCCCCTCAGATTATTATTTCAGACTGAATGGAGAGACATTAAATGCCATACATTATCTAATTTTGCCATCCTATTTATTTTAATCAGTGCAGCACTGTCTGTCCCATTCAAAAGCTGTGTGTGTGTGTGTGTGTGTGTGTGTGTGTGTGTGTGTGTGTATAAGGGCAGTGTGCTGCTTTGTTTCTTTGTTCCTGTGTGTTGACATGTCATTTTGAGAGTGGCTTCTGAGTGCAGCAGAGACCTGGTTTCAGATGCTAGTCGGAGCATCCTCGGGCTCATTAATAATGGAGGAGTCTGACCGGAGCAGTTTTGCCTGCCTTTGTTTCCACTGTAGATGAAGGGAGACATGGATCTTTCTGTTTTGCCCAATAACAACCATCCTGACAAATTCCTGCAGCTTGACGTGAAGTCTTTAATGAGGAGCCCAGCCCTTCTGCAGGCTAGCCTCGCGAGATTTCCGGGTGGGCATTATCCTGCTGCACAACACTGGCAAAACCTTGTCTACTCACAGGTAAGATCTGGGGGCATATAAATCTGGGGGGCTTGTTTCTTTCTCGTTATTTGACATTTCATTATTTGTGAAAAAGAAGGTTATAGGAAACAGAGTGCAAGGCAGTGTTCTCTCTTCCAACCTTTCTCTAATGTCTTTATAAAATGTGTGAATTCTCCCACCCATTCATTCTCCTCCAATCACTAGCTATTCTGCTTGTCTGCGTTTTAGATTGTGTATAGACCTCATTTTACTCCTTTCCTTAATAATTTTTAAACCAACTGTTATATTTGCAAATAAGGTTGTTAGGGAAATCGACCCTTCCTCTCTTTGCCTTCTGGTGTAGCCTTAGTATAAAGGTTCAGAAGCGTACAATGCAGGGGTTTTCAAGCCTCAGAGGCAGCTGGGGCTAGCTTCTGCCTCAGACTAGATCCCTTCATTTACATGGAGAGCACTCAGCACAACAATGGAAACCTACTGAGAAGAAGGGAAACACGCAGAAATTCTCCATCTTGGATAGGCACACGTCTGTTTCAGATACACTTATTTTCCACAGGTGTCCATGTAGACATGACATACCAATCAAACCTTCAAACTTAATGCAGATCTTATTTATCTTGTTCTTTGTTTGACTCTTTATTCTTTTTGCTGACCAAAAGAGAAGATTTTTCTTCTTTATAGCTTTATAGCTATGATGAATTCCATGTGCTGTAAAAATTATAAAGGCCCTGAATGTTGCACAGCTAATGAAACAGGAATAATCTTTGTTTTAAGAAGTAAAGGCTAATGGGGTTAAGGGTTAGGCAATTTAGAAACAGGAAGAAGCATTTCATTTTAGAACAGATGTGACTGACCTACAAACCCCTGCAAGTCATTAAATCCTTTGGAGTGGTTCAAATTCCCTGAACAGAAATTTGTTTTCTTTCAAGAACAGTTGCTGCTCTTGAGTCCTGGTGTAAAGTGACTCCTTTGTGGTATGTTTGTGGGCTCCTAGGGACATTTATCATGAGATCATTCAAAATCAAGCACACTCAAATGATTATGTAAGTGTTTCCTCCACCTATAAGGGTTCTAATTTATTTCCATTGTAAGGCAGCTGATTATGACAACAGACTTTTTAAATTTTTTTGCATCTATTCTTTTATAATCCTCAAACCCTTTTCACTTTCTACACACACCCATTTTGTTTTGTGTTTTGTTCAAAGTTAAATGGAATAAAATACCTCCTTTATCTTTTTATTGTTTATATCATAGAATAAAATGATTCAAAATTATTTCAGAAGATCGGCACACTGTACCCCCCCCCATTCTATGAAGTTTAGATTAAGAAAATATAACCAACAATTCTTTTGAGGTTGAAGCACATTGATCTAAAATCTTTGGTTTGATACTAGAGTTGCCCTATTTCCTTCATTTGGAAGATCACAGATGAAAACTATTGATTATTGTTCCTAAACCTGAAGGAAATACAAATTTTTAAAAGACACATTCTCCTTTAGGCCCTGTTGAGTCCAAATAGCTATTGAAGGAAAAACCAAGGAGGTGAACTTCTACTTCATGTGCCTCTTTATATATGTTATTGGTTAATTGTAAACTTCAAATAAACATGCTTTAGTTATCCTTTTACCCTAAAAAGAAATGGTAAAAGACTTGTTAAAGGGCTATTACCATTGGAATACTGCCTGGAGTGGGAATAAGTGGTGGTGAAACAAGCACAAATTTGGGTATGGTAATATGAAGTGAAGCAGTGAATCTAATTGTTGCTGGTCAGTTTGTGCCATACCTACCTCAATACCCAAAATACTGGATTTAAAGAGCCATCATATTCCTAAATCCTTTGATGATCTTAAAATCCAGTATCCATATATTTGTTGGATTAAAAAATAAATCTCAAAGAATCGGGCATATGAAAGTCTTAAATAGTTGGAATGACACTTGAAAGAAGACCCTGAATATGCCTGGTGCATTGGGGTATTAGGCCCAGAAAGTGACCCCTGCCAGTTTTAAAATCCTCACCATGGTGGGAAGTCATTAAGCCAATGAGAAGAACTGGAATAGAGAATTAGAAACTTGATTTCTTGTCTCAAATCCACAGTAAGCCAGTATGATGATCCATAATCAGTCCAGGCCTCAGTTTTTTCATTTGCAAAATGAGCACAAGATTTACTTAAAGTGTTTCCTTAAAATTGAGGGTAAATAAAAGGTAAAATAATTGAGAAGCAGTTTTCTGTAAGAGTGGAAGAAATTTTAATAGAAGTGTGTATGTATATATTATTATTTACCTATATCCCAAAATGTATATTGAAGTTATCCTTTCATTAGAATTTAGAACACAGCAGATAAATATAGTACCACTTCCATTATTTTATAGATAGTTTGGTTGGAGATGTTTGTGTGTATGAGTGGGTAAGGAATGTACTCAGTATATCTGTCAAGCTATGTGGCTAACCCCCAAAATAATTTGATAATCACAAGAAAGCCTCACAAATGTCAGTGGTGTCAACTCATTTTTTGGAAATATATTGCTTAGGGGCAGGGTATCTGGGATGCATGGAACATAAAAGGACTTAACCTACAAACTTGCCATCAAATAGGTGTTAATTCAGTGGTTAAAACAGAAACCATGAAGATCTCAAATATCAAGTTGAATTCTGAAATATATATACTGGATTTATGTCAGTGACTTAATTTCTATTTTTTTTTAATTTTACAATCCACTTTCAGAGGAAATTTCCTAAGCCATTTTTTACATGCACCAACACCATATTATATAACATGAAGAACTAAGCACTGTTCTCAGGCAAGTCAGTAACCAGTGACGTTATCAATTTCTGCCTAGGCATATATTCAGGTCTCCCATGTTTTCAAGGAAAACAAATATTATTTGATTTCACTACTATACTCTTTCTAAATACATTCACTAGAGAAGTAAAAAAAAAAAAAAAAAAAAGCTTTACAATAAATTTCACATCAATGCAATGAAAAATGTTTCCTAAAGTCTAATATATCTGGTTGTGAAAATGATTTGGGGCATGTATCTGATGAAAGCACTCAGAATTGTATTCCAAATATTTCTGCCAACTCTATAAAATGAGGTTAAAAAAAAAGGAAAAACTTGCTTAAAATATTTTAAGTAATAAAATGTGTTTTTTTTCAGGTATTGTGATAGGCCTCTTAATTTTTTTTTTCTTCTGATTAGCAGTTGGACTTCCAAATCTTTTCAGACTAATCTCTTTGTTATATCTTTTCCTGCCTTCTGTCACATCAGTTTCAGAACCCAGGAACATTCCAGACTAAACCTGTGAGCTGAAGCCAAAGGCCAAGGGTGAGATACTTCTCTTCCTTAATCTCTAGGTGATGTCATTTACGAAGTTCATTTCATAAAATCCCATTCTTCACTCTGTTTCAGTCCTATAACTCTCTTTTTCTCATTAAATTCTAATGTCTTTCCTTTTTCTCTCACACCCTCTCTCTCCATATTTGTTTTATTTTTTTTTTCTTGGTAGTTGCTGAACACATATATCATGATTTCACTAAGAATGTCTCTATTCTTAGTCTCCTGTTTACTATTTTGAAACAGCCCTGCACATACAAAAGTCTTCAATTTTAAGCTTTTTTAGGGAGATGGTTATGGGAATTTGTAGGTATGCAAATTGCCATCTATAATTAGATCAAAAAGCATAATCAAGTTGCTCATAGTTTTACCTGTGTGTACCAGTAATAACATGATTTATTGAGTTATACTCAATTTATGTAGCTCAAAGAATCCCCAACACAGTTACAAAATTGGCCTTGGATGGTCTGAATTCAGCAACAACAAACCACATTTTTCTTCTCTGCTTCTCTTAAACTAGACCTGAATGTCTTACTCTAAAGACTGCATTGAAGACATCATGCATGTGACAATACTACATTCAGGACTCCAGAACCCTGGTTACCTGTAGTAGCAGTCAGGAGATAAAGTTCTAGAGGACTGGGTGGGGCCACCAAGGATCTGTATGCTTTGTCTAAGATTTTAAATTTTATCCTGAAAATTTGAAGAAATAAGTGAAAATTTCTAAACAAGAAAATCACCGGATTAAATCTGTGTTTCATAAAGATAAGCATTCGAGCAATTTGAAAAACAGAATTACTGTGGTTCCTGGAGAGCAGATATTCATTTTTCTACAAACCCATGCATGAAGTACAAACAAAATGCCTTGCTGGAATTGTGATTATTATTAGGATTACATTGTATATATAGATCAAAATGGGGAAATTGGATATCTTCAGGATCTTGATTCTCTCAATTCACAAACATATCTTTTTATTTATTCTATTCTTCACATAGCTTTCAACTATATCATATAATTTTCCACATAAAAATTTTCTATATAGTTCATTAGATTTATATATAAATAGTAGAGTACTTATTATTCTTGAGAGTAGTCCTTTTAAAATCATATTTTACAGTAATTAGCCATGTATGCCCTTGATTGTTATAAATTAATTTTGAAGACAGGAAATGTGGTAAAGTCCTTATTTTATTTTGCATGTTAATATTCCTGTGTATCATGGTGTCATTTGCTGCTTTGTTTCACTATTTATAAACATATCTCTTTTGTTTCTTTATTTTAATCTTATTGCTTTACTTTGAGCTTTCACTGCAACATTATAGTGATATGATTACTGACATCCTTGTATTAGTTCAAAAACTTAAATAAGTGAGGCACGGGGGTGCACACCTGTAATCCCAGCAATTTGGGAGGCTGAGGCAAGAGGATGAAGAGTTTAAAGCCAGCCTTAGTAACCTTGTGAGACACTTAGCAAGTCAGCAAGACTCTGTCTCTAAATAAAATACAAAAAAGGTCTATTGCATAGTGATTAAGTGCCCTGGAGTTCATTCCTGGTATCAAACAACACCACAACAATAAATAAATAAATAAATACGTACATACATACTTCCAATATTTCACCATTAAGTAAACTGTGTCCTGGACATTTTTGGCCCATTCTTTTAATGAGCTTAAGATAATTCTTCA